CACTTCTCTATGCATGTTGACTGCTCAAACACAGATTGTGTACACTGACTCTGCTAACAAAGACTCCTCAACCTCCTGCACATAAATAAGTGGCTTTCTAAGTTATTCAGCATAATCTGGCATTGTGACTCACCCTCAAAAACTCCAATGATGCACATCACATAAACACGTTGTAATAAAATCCCAAACCTGGAAATCCAATGCTTAAAAATAACGGAGATTACAGACATAGGATGTATACCACGGAAATGGGTCATTCTGCTCAACAAGGTCATAATGACATTTAAACTCCCCTCAAGACTGCTCCCATCTTTCTTCATCTGAACCCATCATTCTCCCTCAAATGCTTGTCTAGTTTCCCCCAGATTGCAATGATGTCATTCACTTCAACCATTCCCTGTGGGAGTGACTTCTCAGCTACTCACCACTCCTTTAGCAAAAGAGGTTCTCCTGAATTCTCCAGTTCTGCTCTTCCTCTGAATACATTCTTTCAAAACCTTTCGTAATTTTAAGTACCTCGATTAGGTCACTCACACGGTCTTCTTCTTCTTTAAAACCAAAACAGCTCACCCCCTTAATCTTTCCATGCATTCCTTAACACCATTCAAACAATTTTATTTTCAACTCTGGTATGTTCACAACTGCAAGGCAGGAGTAGTGAATGATAGCCTATTAATGTACATCTAGAATAAGTGGCAGGATTTGTCTTTGGAGAAGATATCTTTTCCATGTAACAGCTTAGTTGGTGTAGCCCCTTGGAACAACACCTGGTCTTAGTCTTTTTTTTATTCATTCACAGTATGTGGGCTGTGTCAACATTTATTGCTATGGTGGTGTTCATGAGTGTGTTCTTGAAACGTTGCAATCCATTTGGTGCAGATACACTCAACATCACTAGTGAGGGAGTTCCATGATTTTGACTCTGGAATGCTGAAGGAATGGTGATATATTTTCAAGTCTGGATGCTGAGTGGTTCAGAAGGGAACCAGCAGGTGACAGCGTTCCTATACACCTGCTGTTCCTGTCTTTTTAACGTGGGAGGTTGTTGCATTGCAGCTACCAGAGATTTCTGGCCGACCAGGAAACTCTCCCACTCTTACCACCTGCTATGGATACATTGAAAGAGTTTACAGGTAAATAGGCAACACAGGAGCGAAATACTGAGGATGCTGGAAATCTGAAACAAATGCAGATTATGCTGGAGAAACGTAGCAAGTCTGGCAGCATCTGTGGAGAGAAATCGAGTTAACCTTTTGTGTCTGGTAAAGCTCTTCAGACCTGCTGCCAGACCTGCTGAGTTTCACCAACACTCTCTGTGTTCCTTTCAATAATCAACATGCTTGGGTGTGTTATGACACACCTCCTGTGTTGATCCCATTGCTGAGGGGGGATTTGAACTTGGGAGCATCTGACCCAGAAGTGGAAACACTGTCATTGCACCACAAAACCTCCACTTCGAATGTGTCTTTGAGGAAAATGAAACATTTTTAAAAAGATGCATTTTGATGGTGTGTTTATGGGTAAATAAATGTTGCAATCTAACTGTGACCCTCACAAACTCTCATCTGTCAGCAACCAAGGGTGCTCAAGAAAAGTATTTGACATAACCTTGCGGCCACTATCCAATATGTTGAAAGGGCCCAACTCCTAATTATATTCTTCTTTCCCATTATTACTCTTTTACTAATCTGGTATGCAGTAAAATGCTTACTGTGAAAAATATCCTGATAATTGCCAAGTAGGTTACTACAATCAGGTGGTGATTGACATAGACTTCTTTGCAATAATTAACTGATCTATTTTCACTGAAATCACACACCTCAGAATCGTTTTTTAGTTAAGGTTTATGTTTAGTGTGAAATATCAGATCTCACTTAAACTTATCAGTTCTTTCTTAAAAACTAAAAGAAGTTGAGGCCAATGCTTCTGTTGGCCTGTTGTCGAAATGGTTTGCATGATGTGCTGACCTTATAAGCAAGCTGAATATTTTTAATCCAAGACTAGGTCATGGCCCCTGGTAGTATTTCTGGAGGCACCAATGATGGGATCATATTAATATATTGGGGAATCTAATGGTGATTCGATTTATCACTATATTGGATGCTAGTTGACTGAATTAGCTACAAATAAACTATTCCAGTGTTCCTACACATTCAAGTCTCCTCCTAGCTCTCATTAACCAAACCCTCCATTTAATACACACAGAGCCCAAGAGCTGACCTTTCTGAATTTATTCATGAGATGTGTGGCTCAACTAGCATTTGTTACCCATCTCTAACAGGTCTTGAGAAGGTGGTAGTGAGCTGTACATCTGGTAGTCACAGTACATCTGATTTGGTACACCCAGGTGTTTATTTGGGGAGGCAGTCCAAAAGGGATTGGGTCAGTGACCATAAACTATATAGTCACAGTGGCAAGTGACCAGAAGGGGAACTTGCACGTGGTAGTGTCCACATGCATCTGCTTTATCTTCTTTTGGGGATGGGGGTGGGTGGAGAGAGAGAGTGTATGTGTCTGTGTGTGTGGAGGGGTTGAAGGAGTAGAGGCTGCAGGTTTGGAAGGTCCTGTCTATGGTTTTCTCCATGGCAGTAGAAACTTCTAGGACATTCAGAATATTCCAGTCGCAAGTGAGGGTACTCTGAGATCTAGCTGGTAGGAGCCTCCGTCTTGAGAACATCATCAGCCTGCCACCTCAGCCATTGGCTGAAACTCCACCGAATCTCCTGGGAAATCTCACATAGGACCACAAGTGCACTGCATGGTCCATCTGTCTACTGTCTGGGGAAGGGAGGGGATGTGGGTCTCCCCAGGATGGTTAGCTGTGTTGAGGGAAGACAGGTTTGAGAACTGTTTTTGCAGCATCTCCCACAGCAGCAGGAAAACCTTTGTTTGAGTTTCACCATCCCAATGGGAACTAAATGCAAACTATCACAAAAAGCACCAGGTAAAGCACAGTTGAGGGTTATGCTGGTTCTCTGTGAAGGTCTATTGATGGGCATTTCCGTGAATAAGACCCTTGATTTTCAGCGCAAAGTTTCCCAACTCCTCAATCAGGAGGTGGTGGCACAGTGGTCCAGAACTCTAGGCTTATGTTTGAGGTTCGAATCCCACCACAGCAGATGGTGGAATTTGAACTCAATACAAATCTGGAATTAAGAGGCTAATGATGACTATGAATCCATTGCCAATGATTGGAAAAACCCATCTGATTCACTAATGTCTTTTAGTGAAGAAAACTATCATCCTTACTTGGCCTGGCCTATGTGTGACTCCACACCTACAGCAATGTGGTTTGCTCTTAACTCAATAAGTCAATCGATATCCACGTCTCATGATTGAAAATAAATATTAACTCCCCCTAATGGGCTTTCAGTGGGAAAAGACACTTCGCTTCTGAAAAGTGAAACTTGAGGTCAGGGTGACTGTTTTTAAAGAAATAAATCTCAAACAAGAACGATCTCAGGATAAATGGGGTGCGAGTTGGGGTGGTGTGAGGATGGAAGACGTTGAAGGGAACAGAATCCGGAGGGACTGCTGCGCGTCGATTGAGGATTGGCGGATGATGGCACGTACTGGAGGGGCCGAACGGCCGCTCACCATCAACGTGAACGACGCGGTGCCGGGAGAAATCTGATCTCTGGGTTCCCTACTACCAGCTCCGTCTGCCATTTAATGCCCTTCGGTTGGACTGGAGAGCGTTTGAGTTTAAAATACAGGACAGGAGTTGAAAAGAAAGGTAAATCAGCTGAAGATCTGCAACATTTGGAGCTGCTCCGAAAACAAGATGAGTTGGAGATACTCATTGCTGGATTGAGGGTGCGTGGGGCGGTGGGGAGTGGGGGTGGTGTTCGGGTTTAAACAGAAAAAAAAAATCTGTGCCAACAGCTTTAAAACCTTCTGATAGAAGGCGGCACGGTGTTGAAAGCATCACGCAAGGCTGTAGGTAAGTCGCTGACAAGTATTCATCCCTGAGCTCCTGATATTTAAAGGAAAGCTTTAGTGAAAGAGCATAGGAGCTGCAGTTTACACAGACAGAGACAGAGATCCACACACAGAGAGACAGGCACACAGTATTGCCTTACAGTCTGGCTGGATCAAGAAAGGGAGGGAGAAGACAGACAAGTGGAAAGTTGGGTTGGGCGGAGGGGAAAAGGAGAGGGAGAGGATAGACAGAAGCAGAATTCGACGAAAAGACGTGGCGGGGGGTGAAATAGACATAGAAAAAGAGAAATGGGGCATTGACAGAGGGGAAAAAAAAGAAGGGGAGAGGCGGAGAGAAATGAATGTATTTGACAGGAGAAAGCAAAGCGAGGGCAAGGAATTGATAGACAAAAGGAAGTGGGGTTAGACAGAAAATAAAGGAAAGGGGGAAACAAAAGGAAAAGAAAGAGGGGGTAGTGACAGAAGGCGGGGGGGGGGGGGGGGGTAGATAGAAATGGAGCGGGGTAGACAATAGTAAGAGAGTAAGGTTAGACAGAAAAGGAGAGAAAGATAGAAAAGAGACAGGAGGGATAGAGGTGGTGGTGGCGGTGGGGTTGTTGGACAGAGAAAGGAGGCATAGGCAGAGAAAGGAGGGATGGGCAGAGAAAGGAGGCATGGGCAGAGAAAGGAGGGATGGGCAGAGAAAGGAGGGATGGGCAGAGAAAGGAGGCATGGGCAGAGAAAGAAGGGACAGACAGGTAGAGAGGGCGATAGACAGACAGAAGGGAATTGACAGAGAAAGAGGAGTAGTCACAAGAGGAGGAATAGGCAAGAAAGAGGGTAACGGACACAGAGAGAGGGATAGGCAGAAAGAGAGGGGGATAGACATAAGGCAGAGGTGAGTTGGATAGAAAGGAAAGAGAGGAGGGGGGGACGGGTTTGGGATAGACAGACAGGAAAGGAGATATTTGTGAAGTTTTGCAATAAAGGGCAGCATTTCTTTGGACAGGGATGAACCTGCAGCTACCCGCCGAGTCGGAGCGGGCCTCCGCCTGGGGACACTTGGGGAATGAGTCGGGCGCCTGGGCAGAGACAGAGCGTCCGTCCAACGGGAGCGGCGGAGACTGGCCGGAGGGAGCGTCGGACAAGGACGTTCGGATGGTGGTGATCCAGTTCGTGTACGCGCTGGTGTGCCTGGTGGGACTGGCCGGGAACGCCATGGTGATCTTCGTCATTCTGAGGTACGCAAAGATGAAGACGGCGACCAACATCTACCTGCTCAACCTGGCGGTGGCCGACGAGCTCTTCATGCTCAGCGTCCCGTTCGTGGCGGCGGCGGCGGCTCTGGGGCGCTGGCCTTTCGGCCCGCTCATGTGCCGGGCGGTGCTGAGCGTGGACGGCCTCAACCAGTTCACCAGCGTCTTCGGCCTGACCGTGCTCAGCGCCGACCGCTACGTGGCCGTGGTGCACCCCATCAAAGCGGCCCGTTACCGGCGCCCCAGCGTCGCCAGGCTCGTCAACCTGGGCGTCTGGCTGCTCTCGCTGCTCGTCATCCTGCCCATCGTGGTGTTCGCCGGTACTGCGCCCGCCGGCGGCGGCGTAGATTTCAGTGTAAATCCCGGCGTAAATATGGACATCAATCCCGGTGTCGTTTCCAGTGTAAATCCCAGTGTAAGTGTGGGTTTAAATCCCAGTGTAAGTGTGGGTGCAGATTCCAGTGTGAATCCCAGTATAAATCCCAGTGTGAGTATGGGTGTAGGATCCAGTGTAAATCCCAGTGTGAATATGGGTGTAGGATCCAGTGTAAATCCCAGTGTGAGTATGGGTGTAGGATCCAGTGTAAATCCCAGTGTGAATATGGGTGTAGGATCCAGTATAAATCCCAGTGTGAGTATGGGTGTAGGATCCAGTGTAAATCCCAGTGTGAATATGGGTGTAGGATCCAGTATAAATCCCAGTGTGAATATGGGTGTAGGATCCAGTATAAATCCCGGTGTGAATATGGGAGCAGGATCCAGTATAAATCCCAGTGTGAATATGGGTGCAGGTTCTAGTGTAAATCCCGGTGTGAATATGGGTGTAGGATCCAGTGTAAATCCCAGTGTGAATATG